GGAAGCGTGGCCGCCTCGGCTGTGTGTGCATGAGCACTTCAGCAGACCTTATTTAAAATTCTCCTCCTTTTTTGCTACTGTTTGAGTTGGAGTGCTGCAGACCTGCCATTTCTTATACTCCACCTGCACGTGTTAATGGCCAGCTCAATATATCTGGGGTACAGTTCTTACTTCAAGCTGCTTTACTCTACAAAATAGGCTTTTTAAGGGTTTTTAAGTGTTTTGTAACCTGAACTTGCATGGCGTATCACCTGAAGTGTGACCAGCAATGTCTGAGAGACAGTTCCTGACTGCAAGCGGTTAAGCCACTGTCTGCCCCTGTGAACAGCCATCTGATTTACTCCTGGAGTCTGAGTTTTACTCCTTAGACCAAGTTGCTCTCTCTAATTCAAAACCTGTAAATCTTCGCCAATGAAAAAATGTAAAAAATAGTGGCTTTTTAAAAGGGGGGGTGGGGAGGAAAGAAAACCAGTTCTTTCATCGCACGGATAGCATTCTCCAAAGTGCTACAGCAATCTGGTTTCAATCTTAGCTCTGATCCCAAGTAGATGCCTTCTTGACTCTGGCATCATCATGGCTGCAAAATAAGAAGCAGGCTCACTGGCACTGAGCATACCCGTGTCCTGGATTCGCTCTGCCTCCCGCTTGTGGAAAGCTGGCAAAAGCAGCAAGGCTGAGTCTTACACGTTTTTTTCTCCAGTTTATTGTGTTTAGATGGGGTAAGCATACTGCAAAGCTGCCGGTTGTCCACTTGATGGTATCAAGTAACTGAACATGGGAGGGTACAGCTGCTGAATGCTCTATTGGGGCAGGCGTGACCAGATAATTTTATAACAGGTAAACCAGCTGTGTTATGTTCTTTGCCTACGCAAACAACTCCTGTGCTAGATTTAATCAGACTGTGCTTAATTTAGCTTGCTGCTCAGATTCCGTAGTCCAGTCTAGTCTGTTCCGTACCATCCCTGCTGTGAGGTGGATAAATATGCCTCCATCAGGAAAACGGCCATGGTTTTTCTGTAAGAAGAGGACACTGCTAATTTGCATCTTCAAAGACTCTCTGGTATCTCTATGTGAAAACACATTAGGAAAAAAAGCTATTGGAAATAATTAATTCTCAGATCCTGTCATTATCAAACAGCTTCTAAACATTTTAACAAACTTTTAGCTGACATCTTTCCCAGAACCAAGCTTTGGCAAAAAGGAAAATGTAACTTCAAGCTAGAGCAAGGAGGAAGGCTTGGCCCTGGTATTTTGCCTCTCACTCTCCATCATGTTTCCGTTTGAGGATCTGTGTGAGCAGACACACGTGCAGGGAATGGATGGGCCTCGTCTCTTTTTAGAGGTGAGACCAGGCAGGGCTAACATATCTCCCGAGTGTGTAGCGGTATAGCTACCCATTGAGAAAAAAAACATGAAACCAATTTTGGGGATATTTTACAGTTGTTCTTGCCTGGTTTGGGCTTTGATTCTAGCACGGCACAGTTTTCTATTTGTCCCAAACAGAAAAATAAAGGTTTCTCATCACACCTCTTCAGAACAAGAAACATCGGCCGTGAGATTTGTTATCCAGTAGGAAAGTGGCTTTGCATCGTGTCCCGCAGAAGCACGGTGATCTGGCTCATTTGGTGATCTTCACGGAGGCAAGTATGCGTAAATCTAATGCAACGAGGGACTTTCTGTCTTGGGCTGTTTCATTTGTGAAGTGGAATATGCTTTGTCCAAAGCAAACGGTCGGCACGATGCTGGGACAGAAAGATGCCTGGACAGAAAGGCTGCGTCTTTCAGCCAAGCAAAACATTGAGCCAGGTCACATTGATATATGGGTACGTGGATGCCTGTGCCCCATATGGGGCACTGCAGCAGCCAGGGAACGTCTGTATCTTCACTGAAATAAAAGCTGATCTCGGGAGGAAAATCTCACCCTGGCCTAGACGAGGCAGCACCCACATGAGCACGGCACGGCAGCAGCGGGGTGCGGGCAGCCATCCTGCCCCCAGCGGCGCCTCATAACCCCCTGCCTAAGCCAGAAGGGATAATCGTATCCTGAGGGTTTGCAGCTTTGCTTTGCTGGATGTCACCACGAGCAAGGGGTGAGTAATGGCGCCGGCTACTAACAGCAGGGGGTCATGTTAAGCGCCGGAGCTGGCGCCGATGGCTCCCAGCGCCTTGCTGGCCCGCCAGCCGCTCTGAGGCCGCCCGGGTACTGCTCATACCACGCTCAGGGAGCCGGTGCCGTGCACCAAATAAGAGCATGTGGGTATTGTTTGTTTTCTTCTGTCAGATTATTCATTCCAAATACCATTTCGTCGTCTTATTGCCAAGAGATAGTCTGTGAGCAAGCCCTTGTTTTGAAAAGAACAGTCGCTATGCACAAGTCCTGACCATGAGGTATGTGCCGCTTGGGGGAATTTGTGTGCAAACCGGCCATTGCCACTATTAACCGTTTATCGTGAAGAAATTATCACCTAGGGCTATGTCAGCGTGATTTCTTCTCCCTGACTAGAGGCCACGAAACTTTTTTTTAGAAAGGAGAAAGACAAATTACAAAGAAGACAAGCTATGAACCACTGGTACGCTTTATTCAACGTCTGAGTAATTACACTGAAACCCACAAAGCTTTTTGGATGCGTGTTCTCATGGCAGTTGCGATTGCCTGAATACTTGGGAACCAATAGGCAATAAAGCCACACAAAGCTGAGTCCATACGGCAACTTGGCTTGCAGCACATCCCAGCGCTCTTGATCTGAGAAGTGCCGTAGCTGGGCAAGTCACTTTTTCGTCCTGCCAGTCTTTGTGTCTTGTAAGTAGTCACGGGAGTCAATGCCAACCAGGGTGATCCACGTGTTCCTTCAGAGTCTGGTCCTGCTTTGAGAAGTTTCTCGGGTGCGGGAAGTTTGCCGGGCACCAGAAATGCCACACCACGTAGGAGATGCGCTGCGGTGACGCCGAGATGAGAACCGAACTACAAGAGGTAAACGCAGCGTCTGGAAGGTGGGAGGCCGAGGGGAAAGGGACAGACACCGCCAGCCTTTCTAGAAGGGACAGACAAACACTGCCAGCCTTTCCAGCAGGGACAGACAGACACCGCCAGCCTTTCCAGCAGGCCCCGCGCGGCGCTTCGCCTGGCTGAGGCTCCTTTCCCAGGCGTACGAACCGGGAGCAAGGAAAACGGGGCCAAGGAGCAGCCGGGGAAATAAACAAAACGAGGAAGGAAAGCG